TGCGCTCAAGTGATCTCTTGCCTCAGATTTTTCTATTTTTCGTAGAGATGGGGTCTTGCTCTTTCACTTTTGCTCAGGCTGGTCTCAAACCTGTGAGCTCAAGCAATCCACCCACCTTGGCTTCCCAGAGTGCTAGGATTACAGGTGTGAGCCACCATGCCAGGCTTAATTTTCAACTTTTAAATAAAAGTAAGTCAAATTATATATTATATATAGACTTTTAATTCCACAGCCAAAGTGTAATTTAATTGACAATTTGGGTAGAATACAAAAAAATTTCTTATAATGAATGATATCCCATATAGTAATAGTACTCCCACAAATTATCTCAATGGCATTTTCCACTTATATGCTAAAGTTAAGTAGATTCCTCAAAAAGATATTCAATTTAGATTCATGTATTTAGATCTAGAAAAGAAAATGTAGTCCAAGTTAAGAATGTAATCAAAATCAAGAAAGTTCAATCAGGAGCCCAGCAAAGGTCATACCTGTAATCCTAGCTCAGGCAGGTGGCTTGCTTGAGCTCAGGAGTTCAAGACCAGCCTGAGCAAGAGCAAGACCCTAAAAATAGAAAGACTACTAAATATAGAAAAACTGGCCAGGCATTGTGGCAGTGCTTGTAGTCCCAGCTACCTGGGAAGCTGAGGCAAGAGAATCACTTGAGCCCAAGAGTTGGAGGGTGCTATAAGATAGGTTGACGCCATGGCTCTCTACCCGGGGTGACAGAGAGAGACTCTGTCTCTGTAAAAAAAGTAAGTTCAATACATTTGTCCACAAACATCAACATAAGACATAGTCTTGAGATAATTTTTCAAAAATTAAAACATCTAAAAACTTCCCACATTCCTTAGGTATAATGCATACATGTTTTACTAAGAAAAGCCACAGGAATTAAAAATAACATGTGTAAAATATTTTACTGTTTACAAGGTACTATGTCCAGCATCTTAGTCTCTTCAAGAAACTTTCAAGGGCAACATCTGTGGCTCTGTGAGTAGGGCACCGGCCCCATATACCAAGAGTGGCAGGATAGAACCTGGCCCCGGCCAAACTGCAACAAAAAAATAGCCAGGCCTTGTGGCAGGCACCAGCTACTCGGGAGGATGAGGCAAGAGAATCGCCTAAGCACAAGAGCTGAAGGTTGCTATGAGCTGTGATGCTATAACACTCTACCAAGGGGAACAAAGTGAGAATCTGTCTCTAAAAAAAAAAAAATAGAACAGAAAAAGAAACTTTCAAGGTAAATCTTATCATTATACCCACCTAAGAGATAGAGAAACAAAAAATCAGAAATTTGAAAACCCGTCCAGGCACAGCACCTATAGCTCAGCAGCTAGGGCACCAGCTGCATACACCAGAGCTGTGGGTTCAAATCCAGGCCTGCCAAACAATGACAATTGCAATCAAAAAAAAAAATTATATATATACAGGCATTGTGGCAGGTACCTGTAGTCCCAGCTACTTGGGAGGCAGAGGCAGGAGAATCACGTAAGCCCAAGAGTTGAAGGTTGCTATGAGCTGTGATGCCATCGCACTCTACAGAGGGTAACATAGTAAGACTGTCTCAGAAAAAAAATAAAAAGAAAAGAAAACCCATTCAGCAGAGTATTATTCATCTAGTAGAACCTGATGGGGCTGAGCCGCAAACACAGGTCTTGACTCCAAATCCTTCTTTCCAATGGACTGTGTCATTTTAACACATTCTCAAAAGAAGCAAAATTATTTTTTAACAGGTAATATTACAGTTCTAAATTCAATC